CCCACAGGATTCTTCATACCTCCAAATAAGTGAACACTCGCAGCTCGGATTAGTTGCTAAATCAAAGAATGATTTCCTAAATTAAATATGAACTTCTAAAACTTATAAGTTAAATAATCGTTAAATAAACGTTTGTTTATTGCTACTGATGATAATTATAATATGATGTGTAACGTGACGAAATGGCCTGATTTTGAGATCCCACAGGTCAAGATCTACAGCCAGGTCAACTTAACCTGGCTATGACACAACCTACAATGTTTTCCCCTCACAGGAGTCTGGATGTCTACACGTAGTCCCTTTAAATCAGAGCCTGCTTCCTCACACCAGCAGGAATCAGAGCCTGAGAGATAATAAAGGATAAACAATAGCATTCTCTCTCCTCCAAGGTCCGTCTGTAAGGGGTTAAATTTTACATCTATTTAATGAACCATAAGACATGAGATTCCATAATAAATATGAAATCAATCTTATGGTTCTTTGGGTACTTTTAACCAGAAGATTGGAACTTTTTATTGCAGGGATTATGTAACAAATTCATATGAACTCAGAGACAAAAGAAAGAGAGTCACGTTTTAAAAGTTTAAAGATTTATTACTAAACAAATTAAAACTAGACTAACTTAAACACTAAATGTATGGTGTAACTAAGGTGAAGTGAGACGGAGAATGGTGTAGTGTGGAATGTTGTTCAGAACCAGCAAATCCGAAGAAACGATTAGTTCTGGTGGGAATGAAGGTGATGTCTTCGCGCTAAGCTTTGATTTGAAGATTCATAAACACGTAAGACGCCATTATGTCGGTCTACATACCCTTGGCGGAAGTCCCTGTCTAGATAAGGAGGTGTAGAGGTCCAGCTTGGACCTTTCTGAAGCCGAAGCCTGTAGAACAGCTGCGGCCGCCGACCAGTCCAGTTTTTGAGATACTTCTGGGTCACGACAGTTTTGTTGGCATCTAGCAAGACCCAAAATGGGGTCACAATGGTTCAGCTTTTATTCTGAAAGGAACCGTTGCAGCAGGTGGAACAGCAACAGATTTTCTCCAGCTTGTCGTTGGTTCTTTCGGCTGAAGAGGAAAGTTACGGATTGGTCACTCCAACAACTTCTCTAGAATGCTTTGAACTGGCGTTAAAGATGGTGTGGGCATAGTTTTATACTTCGGATGTTTTGGTTTATGGTCGAATGAAAAGATGACAGATTTACCAAGCACCACCAAAACCATGCCTCTGTCAGATCTGGCAGATTCTGAATGGATCAATAAAGCAATGTGTCATGTCTTAACGCTACGTGTGATCAGTCTCTAGTGGAAACATTTAAAATTATATTACTTATTATATTCTGTAGGATTATAATATCAAGTAATTAATATTTTCATTTCACAGATTGATCACATTTTATTATTGACTAACACTTTGTTTGATTAGCTTATTAACTCATTCACTGCCATTGACGACTAAAGTCGTCATTTTAGATCCAAACGTTCACTGCCAATGACGACTAAAGTCGTCATTTGCATTTTTCTACTGTTTGAGCATCGGAACGAGCCCCCGCACTGATAGAACAAACATCTCAGCACTGAAGCCGATCTTCATCCGCATACGTCACAGATCACATGATCAGGATGCAACACATCCATGTGTTTGGAAATCGTTTTGGGCTGTTCCTGTAAAAAAAAGTGATGCGCGAACCGGAAAAGCGTCTGCCGATCACAATTCGACAACGGATTATGAAAGAACGGATAACGCTTGAAACTCGAAACTTTTAGGTGGAAAACAGTCATTTCATTCCATTACACTTCACAGAGAAACTCTTTTAAATGAACTCCTTTATTCCCAGAAGAAAGAAGATTTTATAATTATATACAATGAAATGTTCATTCATCTGTTTAATCATATATGCTTAGCATGTTTACTGGATGAGGTCATCACCATGTGCACTCACACAAGGACAAAGTAAAGTAAAGTTAAACGCGTGACACATAGATAACCCTTTACCCCAGATCAGAGCATCCGGTATCAAGGAAGGCGTGTTTCTGAGACTCTTGGTAATATGCCTCAAACTTGTCAACCTCTGGTTGGCTACACAAATCATAACATGAGAACATTAAAACTGAATCACTCTGGTGATTCATGAGTTCTAGAGAACGCTTCAGACCGGCCATCTGAAGCAAAACCCTCTTTAACCATCAAAGCTTTTGACACGTCGTCAAAACCTTTTTGCACCTGCAAAGCTGGTACCGCAACAGTTCCTGCAGAACAAGCTGATATTGTTTAGACTCCTTAAAGAGTCCCAGAAGCGCGGTTCCATCCATCTGTTGTGACCCGAGACATCTCTGGACTGAAGAGTCGGTGCCACGGTATTCTACAGCCCTTCAGTGCCAGAGGTCATCCGACCTCTCTGACCTTCGGATCCACCAAGAGGGTCTCCGAAAACGGGTGAAGATACACAGATAGCGTCTGATGTGCTTTTGATAATAATCAACTTCATAGCTTAACGCAAACCAAATTCTTTTACATCCAGAACTCAGCTCTCCCAGATACAGAAGTTCTGACTAACACCGCACTCACACATAGGTTCATACATCATATCTAGTTCCATCCATCACAGTAAAATGTTGGTTAACTTGTCCTGTTCTAAATGTTGGTAAAAATAAATTCTTACTTTTATAAACCTGACTCTTTTCTGAATCAAAACGAAGTGTGTACAATCCCTTAATAAACAAAGAATCCTAGAATCTTCTAATTAAACACCGTAAAAACCAAACAGGTTGATATTCTACATAGAGTATCACAGCTTATTGGTCATAAGTAGAGGTAATATATATTTAGCTCTTAAAGCACTCAATTTCCTAAACCCGACATCACAGATGGAATCAGCTTCCTCATGACCTCAAATGCGCTCCAACTCTAGAAACTTTTAAATCAAAATTGAAAACCTTCATGTTTTCATCAGCCTTTGAGTAAATGTTCTTATGCTGCACCTTCTGCACTGTATTTGCTCAGCCTTTAACTTTTCCTTTTATCTGATTCTTAAATCTGAGATTAATTTGTATATTTTAATGTAATTTAATTCTGTCATGTTAATTTTGCTGTCTTTGCTCCTGAAAAGCACATTGAACTGCTTCTGTGAATGAAATGTTCTGTACAAATAAAGCTGCCATGCCTTGCGTGTCTTCTGCCCTCTGGTGGATCCTCTTTGAACTGATGACAAGTACTAACTTCTTTAGTTCTGTTTCCATTCATTTATTTATGTAGCGCCAGATCACAAAGAGAGTTGTCACAAAGCACTTCACAAAGTAAACATTCAACTTGAACTTTGTTTACCTCCACAAGTGACTGATTACACCTAGACAGGCCACCTGCATTGAGTTCAGTTCATTATGCCAGTCAGTTAATGGTGTAAGAAAACCCGGTTGATTGCATCAAGTCATTGTTATTAACAGTAGTGAAGATGCTTTTAAACTGTTAAGTAATAGTTATTTACAGGGTCTACATTCATGTTTAGGACTTTTAAGTGGGTTTGGTTTGGTCAAAGCGCTGCTTGGTTTTGAGTTCACTAAGTACACAGATTTTATTTACAAAATTTTTCAAAGCTTTTGAACCTGGTTTATCAGACTGGAATGAGGAATGAGCAAGTGTTCTGTATTTGCAGAGCTTCAATAAAAGCATTGTGGGTCTGTTGGAGGGTTATGCTGTAGATAGTATTGTCAGGCAGGGATCCAGAACTGCTGCTGCTACGGTTGACGGCCTGTATTAGAACATTCTAGTGTTCTACAACCCCCCAAGGCCCTTTACAACAAAAATTGTCATTCACCCCATGCACACATTCACACACTGGTGGTGACAAGCTACATGTAACTACAGCTGCCCCGAGACACACTGACAGAGGGGAGGCTGCCGATCGCTGACACCACCGGTTCCTCCAACCACCACCAGCAGGCTAGGAGAGGCAAATGTCTTGCCCAAGGACACAACAGAGCAGGCTCAAACCTGCAACACTCCAGTTACAGGGCAGGTATTTAACTTCTCTGCCATCGTTTAAATAATGAATTTTTATCTATAACAGCACCATACTCTTTCCTAAAAAGATTTAATCAACCCAGATGCATCAGATCACTGCTTTTATAAATCTTAACAAAGTTCAGATCTTAAAGGGATACTATGCACTTTAAATTTTTTTAAATCATTTTCTTGAGCCAGTATGAGCTAAATTACCCTTTACAGAGTGAATAAAATGTCACTCCGACCACACCGCCATCCATGACTAGAATACCGCATTTGCAACTGAGTTGCCGGTCAGGTTCCTGCTGGTGAAGGGAGCTGTGCAGTGGAGCTGGAGTCTGCTTCTAGCATGGTTTAGATCATGAACACAGCTGATTTATCTGATTTAGTGATGAACTGCTCTTGTAGGATTTAATGAAGGCTGAGAAGACATTTCAGTTGTAGATCAAGGTGTTAAAAAGATGAGCGCACAGCGAGGAGGAGTTTAGTTCAGTTACGGGCATAGGGGCAAGCAAAACTGCAAAGTGTGCCATTAAGTTTATAAATTAAATCAATGAGCCTAAATTAATTAAAAGTATAGTGGAACCATTTTCTACAGAAGGTTTCAAAAGTAAGTCTATGGACTTATGTAGTTTTTAATGAACGTTAAATCTGTCCACGAATCCAGAATGAAGTCCGATAACTCCAAGGTGGTGATCGGTTATTTAATTCTGCTTCACTTGCAGGTTTTTCAGAAGCTCAGCTTGGTCGGTCAGTAATACATCAAAAAGAAAATGTTTTTTTAATGTATGATTAAACAAGTTAGATAAATGATAAACATTCACACTTACCTGAAAATCTATCTGATAAATTAAGACAGATCTGTATTTATTATATTAAAGGTTAAACATATATAGATTAAAATTATTGGATACTTTCTAACTTTTAATAAATAAACGTAATTCTTTAATTAAAATACAATGAAACACCGTTTACATGAAACCAGGAAATAAAGACAGGAGTTTAAACGGTTCTGTTTATTAGAAAACAAAATGTAAAAAAGTAGAACACTGTACATGAAATAAAAGCCAATAGAGTCTGGTTCCGGAACCACGACCAGAACCACTTCGACCTCAGAGGTTTAAGGTCCTCCTCACACTTGAAACCTGGAGCTTCTCTAAAGTTCATCAGAACCTCTCGGTCCTCGAGGTTCCGTAGAGTTCTGCTCTTGACCCTGCGGTGTTAATGTCCCCACAGGAGGGTTCGGTTCAGACGTATTGCTTCTTGTCGAGCTCTCCGTGGGCAGTGATCATCTTAGTGGGCCCGTACTGGATTGAGGACGCGCCCCGGACCCAGACGGAGCAGCAGAGTAGGGTTCCCCCCAGCAGCAACAGCGCCGCGGCGGCCCAGCCGATGTAGATGGCCGCCCCGATCTCTCTCTTCTTGGAAGGAGGGACATGCGGGTCGTGGAAGTCCACGATGATGTTGTTGGCTATCCAGAAGAGCGGAACCAGGACGAAGATCCCGCTCAGGACGTAGATCACCCCACCGGCGCGCACCACACGCGCCTTCGTGGTCTCATCCTGGACGCAGGTGGTGCACTGCGCCCCGGTCACCGTCACCGTGAGCGCCACCACCCCCAGGACGGCGGAGATCACCGTGAGGGCGCGCGCCGTCTGCAGGTCCTGTGCCAAAGCTAGAACAGAGTCGTGGAGCTTACACTGCATCTGCCCGGTGCTCTGCACCACACAGGACATCCACAATCCTTCCCAGATGTTCTGGGCCACCACGAGGTTGGACTCGATGAACGCGTTCACCTTCCACATGGGCAGCCCGCACGCGACCATCACGAGCAGCGATCCCAACACGCTCAGGGCCAGGCCCAGGGACTCCAAGCTGGCAGTGAGCATGATTCTGGTTCTGGCAGGAGGGATTTGGTCCTATAGGGATGTTGGTCCGAGTGCTGGTCAGCTGGAGGGTCTCTGAGTCTCAGTCTCTGAGTGCGTGCGTTCAGCTTTTCAATTACGCACGCTCAGTCAGAGAGAGAGAGAGAGAGAGAGAGAGAGAGAGAGAGAGAGAGAGAGAGAGAGAGAGAGAGAGAGAGAGAGAGAGAGAGAGAGAGAGAGAGAGAGAGAGAGAGAGAGAGAGAGAGAGAGAGAGAGAGAGAGAGAGAGAGAGAGAGAGAGAGACTTTAGGCCAATAGGCTGTGGGTGCGTTTTTTGTGTCAGCCAATCAGAGCTTTAGGAGCAGCAGCGTCTCTCACACGCACGTGCTCGTGTACACGGGTTCCAGTCTGGTCCAGATTCCTGTAATTCACACAGTTCCAGGACGGCTTTGTGTTAATTATGATGGTAAATATGTGTTGAGGGTGGGTTTATCAAAGTGTTCTGATGATGACCCCAGCGTTACATTTTCTGTTACTAATAGTTCCATAAACTATTGTGAGCAACAGATAAGTGCAGCAAAAAAGTATTTAGTCAGCCTCTAGTTGCACATGGTTTGCCACTTAAGATGAGACAGCTTGTAATTTTCAGGTATCTCAACTGTGAGAGACAACAATCTCAGAACTGCAAGGCTTGATGCACTGATCTCCCCAAAGAAGGAGATCCGTCTGTAGCTATGCTGTGATTTGGGGGCCTTTGTGGAGAGACAGAAAAACCTCGACGGACAAACCTCACAAATACGATTCCAGTCCCTGGTCCATAACTATGAGAAACCCAGAACTTTTTGACATTTTGACCATCCCTGCACACATTCTAAATTTCATTTGTAGGAAGGAATATAGGACAGTTTTTACGAACATTTGATAAATAGTGCCCTGGAGCAGCCTATTCCAGATCTCAACCCCAGAGAAAATAGAGGGAGTTGAAAGTCTGCGTTGCCCTGCGACAGTCCCACAACATCACAGCTCTAGAGGAGATCTGCATGGAGGACTACCATACCATGCCATATTTATTTATAGAGCCCATTTAAAACAGCGTGCCAGCTGACCAAAGTGCTTGAACACAGAAAGAGGGCAAATGTAAAACAGACAAAAGAGCAGTAATCCTATGATGAAATGAGCCCTCACAATCAAAGAATATACAACAGGCTGGTAAAACATAAAATCAAGAATGCAACCCAAATAGCAAAATCATACACATTTTGTTGCAATAACAAGATAAAAACAACAGAGTAAGAGCAAAAAAGTGATAAAAACAGTCAAAGAAAAATAAATTTCGAGGACAAAGTCTGCTAATTAAAATTTTACCATCCAAAAGCCATTCTGTAGAGGTGTGACTTAAGGCCAAAATACCAGCAACAGTGTGTAAAAACTTTGTAAAGACAAGAAAATTATTGACTTAAAAACTGAGTGTCTGGGTGCTTAAACAAGCAGGGTCAAAATATTTTTTGTTTGTTTATTTGTTCATTTCTTTAATTCAATTCAATTCAAGTTTATTTATATAGCGCCAAATCACGACAGGAGTCGTCTCAAGGCACTTCACATAATAAACATTCCAATTCAGGTCAGTTCATTAAGCCAATCAGAAATAATGTGTGTGTGTGTGTGTGTGTGCGCGTGCGTGCGTGTGAGTAGGTGGGTGTGTGTGTGTGTGTGTGTGTGTGTGTGTCTGCTCTGTCTTCTCGATCCCCAGTGAGTTGTGGCGGATGGCTGCTCATACTGAGCCAGAGGTTTGCTCCTGTTAAAAGGGAGTTTTCCTCTCCACTGTCGCTACATGCTTGCTTAGTATGAGGATTGCTGTAAAGACTCTGACACTAGTCAGCAATTTGCTGGGTTCCTTATATAGGAAACTTTTTACTGATTGGCTTAATGAACTGACCTGTATTGGAGTGTTTACTATGTAAAGTACCTTGAGACGACTCTCATCGTGATTTGGCGCTATATAAATAACTGGAATTGAACTTGAATTGAATATATGTGCTTTAAACAAAAATGAATGAAGATGTCATTTCTTGAACAACCATCTTAACAATCATCCCCAGACTTGAAAAGCTAACAAAAATCTTAGTTTCATTAGGCCACCCTACTTGTCTGTTAATAAGCGTCATCCTAAAAGCTGGTGGCGGTGGAGATCAGCAGTGAGCGTGCGTCTGTTCTCAGTGTTTATTGTACAGAGACTGAAGCATGCTGATAGAAGCTGGACCACACCTATAATTACTGAGCCACCACAAAGACCCACAATCTCCATGTTTTTAGTCACCAACAGGGTCTTTTTGCCTTAAACAGACACACAGTTTGAATCATGACACTGGAATCAGAGCGATGGGATGAGAGAGACAAACTGCAGGGGTTTGATTCACTCATCCAGATTAGGAATGTTGTTAAGAGATGAACATCCTCGCCTTACCCGTAATGCAGTTCTCTGTGTACTTTAAACATTGCAGTTGGAGCTTTTCATAAGGTTAAATTAAAATGTTAAAATGTCTTTAAAGGTTGCTAGTAAAATCAAAGCTAAGTGCTTGCATGGTTTATTATAGCATTTGCAAACAATGACACATTGAAATGTACTTTTAACTGTACTTTAATTATTTAGTGTGTTTATTCTGCTTTACCTGCACTTAATGTATTTGATAAATGTAAAAAAAAAGTTTAGCTGTAGTTGCATCTCATGTTGAGTGTTAGAATTAACACAGTGGATTGGCTGGTGCAGCTGTTGGTCGCCTCATAGTTGCAGGTTCAAATCCCAGCAGCAGCCTTTCTGTGGGGAGGTATCCGTGCATGTGTGGGTTTCTCTCTACATCCTCCCGTAATCTAAAAACACATGTCAGGATAATTGGAGACTAAGTTGTCTATAAAGAGCAAGTCAGCCCAAATCATCTTTATTTTTTTTTTTTTGCTGATAAACTAACTCTCAGTTTCACTTTCAGTTTGGTGAAAGGACAACTTTTTCCATTTAATTTTTAGTTTAGAAAAAATCTCTTTTTGTTAAAGTGTTTTTATTTTTTTATTTTATTGCAATTGCATTTAACATTTGTCTGGCAGTAAAATAAGCAGTGAATTGTTAGTAAGTGTGTTAGGAGTAGAAGTGTTGTATTGATTTTTAACATTTAGATAAACATTTAAAATTTAGATTTCATTATAAATGTTTATTTTTAATTTTTATTGGCACAAACATGAGGTGCTTCATATATTTAGGGGCAAAATATAATTTCTTGTTTCTCAAAATTAAACTACTCAGATGTCGGATTTAAGTTGTTGTTGTGTTGATTAAAGATTTATTATTTAGATATTTAGATCCATACAGATTAATCATCTTAGCACCCCCCTCGTGGAGCTGGAACTGACCTAACTGACTGGCTTCTGGTCTCAGCCTGTCGGAGCAAATCTCAGCTAAACACCACCTTTTACATGTGATGCATTATTTCCTGGGGAGGTCTGGATTCATCCTTGTTGGTTACTGTAAAATGTCAGATATCTTTCCTGAATAAGGACAAGGTAGCAGGTGTTGGTTCAACATAGGCCTCAACTGTCATGATCTCAAATGAGTGACTCTTAAGCAGACACCGCACACTCTGACTCAGAAACAAGTTTTTCTTAACAGTTTATTTTCTTCTGGACCAGAAGAATCGGGAGACCAAGAGGAAGTGAGGATTCGAGGAGGATCGTCACTGGAAAAGGTAGGTATGGGTATGTAACAAATGACTGTAGATGTCTTTTGAGGTTTAATTACAATCAAAAAGATTTGATGATTTCTATATAAATATAGAAATATCAACCTGATTGACCTTTGAAGATCTAACCAAAAGATTTAGAAATCTTTGTTTATTCAGGGACTGTAAGACACTTCGTATCAATTCAGACAGAGTCAGGTTTATAAAAAGTAAAAAATTTATTTTCTAAACAATTAAAAACATGACAACTAGAAAACACTTTAGGTGATGACTGAATCTGAGTGGATGGAATGTGAGGTGTGATGATGTGTGAATGTGACGTTATCAGAAACTTCGTATCTGCAGAAACTAAGTTCTAAGTGGGAGTGAATTTGGTCTGCTATGAACTACAGAGATGGTTTATAAAACCACATCAGATGCAATCTGTCGAGTCTACGTACCCTTATCGGAGACTCTTTTTTGGATCCGAGATGTGGGGGAGTCTGTGGACCCCACGGAACCGAAGTCCGTAGAGAAACCGCAGTATGACCAGGTCAGTCTAGAGTCGTCTCCAGGTCACGACAAACAGGTGGACTTGTTTTGCGTTATGGAGTAACTCTTAAGGAGTTGAAGCTGGTTCAACTTTATTGTGAAGGAACCGTTTGCGGTCAGCTGTAGCGTGCAACGGGTTTTGACAGCTTGTCAAAAGATGTGCTGGGTTGAAGAGCTTTTGCTTTAGATGGCCGGTCCGAAGCTTTCTCAAAAACTGACTCACTCAGGAAGTGAGTTCTGTTTGAACAACAGAACTACATATTTTGACTACATGGCCAACCAGAATTTGACGTGTAAAGGGGTTTTACCAAACAAACCATAGAACATCAGATAGAAGAGCTCTGATTTATGGATCAGGAAATCTCTATGTGCAGTGACGTTTAACTTTAACTTGCATCATGGAGATATGGTGAGTGTGTGTGAGCTTGTCAGTAGATAGTGATGCACTTGAATTGACCTGTATTGGAATGTTTATTATGTGAAGTGCCTTGAGACGATGCTTGTCATGATTTGGCGCTATATATATAAACTTGAATTGAACTTGTTAAACTTACTGATCACACCATAATATTAATTTCAACTTCAGTAATTTAAGCACAGATTAATCACAACATTGTTATTATTCTTCAGCCGTTATTATTCATTCATTACATGATTATTTTAACACTCCATTATTCATAACGGTTCATTATAAAAGTTCCTCCTTCTTGTTCTGTGAAGCAAAGCAGCCTGAGAGAAGCGGGAAGCTTAAGAGGGACCTTAGTCAAGCAACAATATCTTTCTTGCAGATTAAAAGCACCAGTTAAGACTTATGTCTCCAAATGGCCAGATACTGAAGAGGTCAGACTGTAGGTGGAAAACTGACCATTTCTGGAGG